CCCTGCCCCCCCCGCAGGCTCCTCCTTCCTCCCCTCTCCTTTTCCCCACTTCTCTCCTTCACCCTCTTTTCTCCACTTTCCTGTTTTTCTCCCATCCTTTTTTGTTTTTTGCCTTTCCTTTTCTCATTTTTGTTTTCTAGCCCTTCTCCCCTTTCCTGTTTTGACCCCATTTTCTCCCCTTTCCTCCACCTCCTTTTGTCCTTTTGTTTTTTTCACCCCCTTTTCTCTCTCATTTTTATTTACCCCCTTTCTCCTCCATCCTGTTTTTTCACCTCCCCTTTGTTTTCTCCCCCTTTTTCTCTCTTCCTATTTTTTTACCCTCTCCTTTCCCCCCACTTTATCCTCCACTTCTTGTCTCCCTGTTCCTTTTTATTCTTCTTTTCCTCTCCCAACCCAGCCACCCGCTTTGGACAGAGACCTTGCCCTGTGTAGCTTTCCACACCCCGCTCCCTTTCCAGGGCTAATAGTTTAGGGACAAGGGACTGACACAGGACCCGGTGTGACACTTAACGCCCCCGTCGCCTTTGCAGGCGGCTGCGGGGCCATGTACGAGATCCACATCGAGTCCGAGGAGTTCCGGGAGAAGCGGACGGTGCAGCAGCACCGCATGGTGAACCAGGTGGGTGGCGGGAGAGGGGGCTGCTCCTCTCGAGGAGCCGGGCGCTGGGCCGGCGCTCAGCGGCGCTGGCGCCTCCGCTTGCAGGCGCTGAGCGAGGAGATCAAGGCCATGCACGGCCTGCGCATCTTCACCTCCATCCCCAAGGCCTGAGGCGCCCCGAGCTTGTGCCCTGGCACGGGGGGAAGCAGTAGAGGCCTTCAATAAAGCAGCTCTGTGCGCGTGGCCCCTGGTGCTGCTGCTGCTCCACGCGCCGCGTCTGCCTTTCGGAGCACCCCGGGAGCGCCGCTGCTTGGGGTGCGGGGAAAAACACAGGACAAGAACGGGAGGGAAGGAGAAACTTTATTGCCTTGTCCAAAGAGGAGGGTCCCTGCTCCCTCCTTCCCAAGGTTTACACATAGAAAAGCTGCTGCTGGAGGCCCCTGCGCTCCGGCTGGCTGGGCAGGGAGGCTGCCCAAGCACTGAGGCACTTTGTCCCACTCCCACCCCCCAAGCTGCCAGGAAGGGGCTTTAAGGCTCATGTATCCAAGAAGCATTTCCAGATAAGCGAGGCTGCCAGCTCGTCCCTGGCACCCAGCGCCACGCTCGGCTTCGGCTGGCTTTGATCCTTGGGTGCTCCGAAGTCCGGAGGGAAATTGCAGCTGTTTTGCTCCAGAAAGTCCCAGCTGCTTCAGGACCTGAAGAAGGCTGCAAAGTGAGTCCCGTTCTAGAGCAGACTGGAATTACACAGTAGCAGACTGGACTAAGTAGCGCTGTGTCCAGGCTGCGGATTGCAGCGAGGTTTTGCCAAGGCCTCGAGACGCGAGTTGGGCTCTGCCGAGCACCCCCCGGCTCCCCCCAGCGCCGAGGGCGGAGCGGGAGAGCAGTGGGGAGCAAAGCGGGAAGCGGCCGCTGGGTTTATCTGTCCTTGGAGCCCAGCTTCTCGATGAGTTCCTGCAGCGGAGCCAACTCACGCCTGTCGATCAGGTTGAATTCCTGGTGGGAAACAGGAGAAGGAGCTGCTGGAAAACGCACAGCTTGGTGCTCCCAACAGGTACTTCTCCCAAGGCCGAGCAGCCCCAGATGCTGCCTCGTTTATTCCCTGGGGGGCAAGGCTGAAGGCTCCAGGCAAAGCAAAGCTCTCCGTGGGCCAAGCTTGAGTTCCTTGGCTCCTTTTCTTACAGACCAGGAACTCAGAGAGGAAGAAGAGAGAGGAGGAAGAGAACAGAATGGGAGAGAAGAAAATAGAAACAAATTGGAAAAGAACAGAAGGGAGGGGGAAGAAAAGGGTAGAAAAGAGGAGGGAGGAAGAAAAGGAGTGCAGAAGGAGAAGAGTAGAAATGAGAAGGGGGAGAAAAAAAGAATAGAGAGGGAGAAAAAAAGATATAAAAGAATCAAGGAGGAAGAGAAAGAATCAGAGGGAGAGAAAAAAGTTTTTGTGGGGGAAAGTCAAGGAAATGGAGCACAGGGAAGGGCACTTCCTACGAAGAGTGGCTGAAGGGGTGGCCAGGACCTGCTGCCGTCACACAGGGGCTGCTGCGGCGCCCTGGGGGCTTCGTGGGGGCTTCGTGGGGCACGAGGCGGCTCCCGGGAGGCGCCACTCACCTGCACGAAGAAGATGAAGTGCTTGAAGGAGGTGTTGAGGTGCGCCTCCTCCTGCAGCCGCATGACCGAGTCGAAGTGCTGGTGGTAGATGTGCGCGTACACGCGGAAGAGCCGCTTCAGGATCGTCTTCGCCACCGACATGAAGTTCTTGGGAAAAGGGACACCTGGAAGGCACCGCGAGCGCTGGCTGAGCATCCCGGCACGGCCGGCGACGAAGCTGCCCCCGCGGAAGGGCCTCTTGCCCGGCGCCCGCCCCACGTTACCGATCTTGGAAGGAAAGAGGGTTTCATCGTCCAGCTGGTCCTGAACCCACGTCATCAAGTAGTCAATGTACTTGGGAGCCGAGCACTTAATGGGCTTCTTGATGTTGGTGCCATCTGCCCAGTGGTACTCGTACCTGTGCCAGGAGGGAAGGAAAACCAAGAGGTGTTTTCCTGCCTGAGGAAGGAGCAGGGCCGGAACAACCCAGCCGAACACTTATTCCCAAGATCAGGATTGTTTCCACACTGTTTAAATCATTTCATATAAGGTTTTCAGAAACTGCCCAGGAATCCTGTGCATCGCTGATCCCCGAGTCGCGCCCACAGAGGCAACAACGCAACAAGAAGCCAAAGGCTTTGGCAGGGTGCCGCCGAGCAGGGTGGACGATACCGCGGTGCTCCGCGGGAGCCATCGGGGTCTTCTGGAAAAGCCAACGAAGCTGCCGCGTCCCGGGCGAAAACAAACACGCTCTCAGCAGGAAGCCTCTCCCGGAATGGGCCCCAAATATAGAAACAGGAACCTTGTGGTCTCGTCGCTTCAAGAAGCGGGGCAGGATTTTACCCAGCACCCTGCAAATTCAGTTGTATTGCCTGCTTCCGAAGCCCTGTCCCAAGTGGCAAAGAGTCTCCTCCAACTGCACGAACAAGCTGTTCTGCTGCAGCAGGCTGCTCCACTGCACCAAATAACAGGCTGAAACTCGAGCGGAAAAAGAATTTGGAGATAAATTGCTCTCTGTCCACAAGAGAACACTGGGCATGGGATCTCAATTTGGGAGAAACTCTGCATGCCTGGCAAGTTAGCTCAGAGCCATCACCTATGTTCTCTCCTTCTGCCCATCCATAAAAACAGCCTCCTGAAACAGCTCTGGAAACTGAGGTGGGGCTTCGTGATGACCTAAATGAGTTTTGGGACCAGACGATGGGGTGAACGAAAGGGGTTTCCTGTGATGCAGAGTTCAGAGCCCAAAGACCAACTTCCTACCTTGGTCCAGCAGACATGACGGGGCAGCTCGCCTCGGTGCAGAACTCCGTGATGGTCCCGTACAGCATGTTGATTTGGTTGAAGAAATCCACCGCTGGAAGGGGAAGCGCGGTGAGCTCAGCGCAGGCAACGAGCCAGGCCAAGGAGCCCTCCCGCTCCGCGCGGCGCCTGGGTGTTTGGACAATCTGGGAGTTTTACTCGCGCCCTGAGCCTGCAGCTCATCCCGGCTCGCGACTGGCACAGTTTGGAAACTTTAGAGTGCGCGACCGATCGCGAAAAATAAAAAGAGCGGGCAGTGCCTCCACCCTGGGAGTTCTGACAAGCACCGGAGATCCTCCTGGAGCTGAATCTTTGCAGCTTTCCCTCTGCTCCCCCTTTAACCTCTGACGTTCAAGGCCAGGTAGAGCAATCACTAAAAGCAAATTAAGTTGCCTGTAACTGTGCAGCTGTCAGAATGAACGCGGGATTTTTCACATGCAACAACAAAATGAAAATGCCAGGGAAAAGCACCTTTCCAAGCTGCGAGAACGAAGCTAGAGTTTAATGTAGAGGCCTCTTTTCTTTTAAGGCCGAAGAACAGAGCGTACGTATGTGTTCTAAGCTGCCCCCCTGCTCAGGTGGATCCTGCTCCCCGGGACTCACTGTTCACCGCGATCCACTCGTTGAGATCCTCCCCCTCGGGCAGCATCACGGCCTGCCTGAGGTTGCCGCTGCCCAGCGTCGCCTCGGCGTGCTTGAGCAGCTCGTACTGGTGGGAGCCCTCGGGGATGTTCTTCTTGGGCTTGAAGGTTTTCGAAGACCGGCTGCCGCTGGCAGAGAGAGAGAGATGATTGCAAAATAACCCGCTCAGCGGCGACCCCCTCTCTGAAATAACTGATTCCTGCTGCGTTTGGCCCTTGGGGTGTTGCCTTCGGCCTTGCTGTGCGACTTGCACCAGGCCTTCCTTCCCCTCGGCCTCTCATCGTCATTTTGGGGAGGATGGAGAGCAAACCACGGTGGTTTTAATGGCTTCACAGAAAGAAAAGACACCAACCACATGCTGCCAATTTGGCAGGAGAAATCCTGACTAGAGCTGGTCAAGGAAACTGGCACTAGTGGCACTTGCAATTCAGGGAGTGGGTCCTCGACAAGACCCTACCAGCTCAAGCCCCATGGGGGAATCGCATCCACAAAACATGAAACCTGTATTCAGAAAGCATGACGACTTCTCTACTTGAATGCAAGATAAGTAAATATTATGGCTGTTTTTAGGCAACAGAAGTGCTGGGCTCTGAGGTGGGACCTATTGCCACGTTATCCAAAGGAAAAACAAGCCTGGAAGCACAGCAGGAGAGGACTAAGCGCCTCGGTCAACCGCTATCGTCCTGTTCTTGGGGAGAACGGAAAGAGGCTTCACCTACCCGCCCCAGCCCTTGCTGCCGAGGCACAGATGAGCACGCAAAGGAGGCAGCGTTCTCCCATCCCAGGCACCAGAGCACAGCCCTCCCTCGGGCCAACACGGAAACCTCCCTCTCGTTCTAGGAGCCCGGCACCGCTAGCAGGACGCAGGCAGACTTCTCTTTTTCCGCATCCTTTGCCAAACACCTCAAGCCACATTCGGTGCAAAGACCCAGACCGCCAATTAGCAGAGGAAGAATTAAACGATAGCAGCAGCCAGGGCAACAAAGAGAGGGGGGAAAACACACCTCAGTCGGCCACAAACCCCCGCACCCATCGGGCGCTGCCACGTGGGTTTTTCTGGGGTCAGCAGCAGCGGCTTTGGGCTTGAACGCAGCGTAGGAAGCTGCCCGCTACAAGCGGCGCCTCGGCCCCTTCGAGCCCTGCTGCACAAACTCCTGCTGCGGCCTCCCCTTCGAGGCGGAAACGCTTAGGGACTCCGTTCCCAGAGGCCCCGAAAAACAGCCCGGCCAAGAGAGAAAAGCGGAGGTGGCTTCACAGTGTCCTGGCCTCGGCGTCCTGCTCTGCCTGCTGTTTGGGTGGCACAAGCGATAGGAAGGGGCCAGCAGTTCCCCAGCAGCTGCTGGGTTTATCTGCCCTGTGCAGCGTGGGGCGACTTCCTGCAGCCTTTGCCCCTTCCGGGGTGCAAAGGGAGGGACTTTTGAGCCGGGCTCGCTCCAAACGCAAGGGCTGCCTCCTGCTCCAGCTCCCAACTTCTTCCTGCTCCCTTGGCGGGTGGCACCCGGCACTGCAGCCCCTGCACCCCTTGCACAAACAGGGCCCGAGTCCTTTCCGCCGCTGCCCATCATTCCTGACCAGCAGGAAGCCCCCCGCCACAATAAGGGTCTCCTCTTCCCGGCCTCATCCCGCTCTTCCCGTGTTCAAAGTCACCATCCGAACTCTGCAGAATCCTCTTGCTGCCCCTTGCCCTTGGGGATCCCCTCGCCACCCAGACCAAGGTGCCCTCCCAAAAACACGGGTGTCCCCAGGGTCTCCTTCACAGAGCCCAGGGCCTCTCTCCAGACCCCCGGTGTCCGGGGGCCCCCCGCACCTCGCACCTCCCTCAAACACTCCCCACACACGGCTCCGGCCTCCCCTCGAGGCCCTCGTTCACCCCGGAGCCCCCCACGAGCCCCCTGTGGGGACTCCCCCTACCCCCCAAGGGCTTCCTGCGGCCCCCGCGGGGCCGCCCCCGGCACTAACACTGGCCGAGGCCTCTCGGAGAGGCGGCACAGACCCTAGGGCCGCGCCGAGGCCTCCGCTCTCCCCCCGGGGCCCTCGGAGCCGCCCCCAGGACCTCCCCTCACCCCCTTGGGGCTTCTCAGAGGCCTCCAGGCCTCTCCCTGCCGGGCCCTCAGAGCCCGCCCGGCCCCACGGCCTCCCCACAGCCCGAGGGCGCCCCGCCGGTGCCGCCGGCCCCCCGGCACTCACAAGAGGAAGCTCATGGCGAGGCGCCGGGCCGGTTCCGGTACCGGGCGAGGCGAGGCGCGCGGGCCCAGCTGCCTGCGGGCCGCGCCCGGCCGCTCGCCCCGCTCTCGCGAGAACTCCCGCGAGACTACGCGGGGAAAGGGGGCGGGGCCGAGAGCGGCTGGCTGCGCCATGAGGGGGCGGGGCCAAGAGGGATGCGCAGCCGGGGGGCGGGGCCAAGACAGCTCGTCCCCATGGCAACCGCCCGCCGGGCAGCTGCTCTGTAGGCGCCTACGGGCCTAGGGCTCCCTTATAGGGCGGGGCCCTCCTATAGGCGGCGAGGTGCCCCTATAGGCCTAGGACACCCCACACGGCCATAGGGTAGTCGACTACAGGGCCAGATCTCTGTGGGGGGCTTAGGGCCCCCCAAGGCCAAGGGTCCCGTGGCCTAAAGCCAAAGTGGCGGCCCTGACCCTGTGACCCCAGCCTTGACCATGTGACCCCCCCGCCCTCACCTCAGCCCCTATTGCAATCTCCCCGCTTCCCGAGCGCAGCCAATCAGCACCGCCGTGCCCATCTACGGAGCCCGCCGCCACCAATCAAAGCCCCCACGCTCCTTCTCACCCCGCCCATCACGTCTCCCGAGCGCCTCGCGCTCTCGGGTCCAATAGCTGCGGAGCATCGCCGGCTCCGCCCCGCCCCCGTCTCGCGGCGCCGCCAATCAGCGTCCACCTCGCCGTTGCCCGCGCCGCTATATAAACCCGGCGGCGGCACGGCGGGGTCCCCACGCATCCCCCGCGGCGTGTCCCTGCGCGCGTGCCGTCGCCGCGCCGCGTCGCCATGGCAACCGCGCTCCGCCCGCTCCGCGCCCTAGGCCGCGCCGCGCCGGGCCCCGCCGGCCGCCCGGGGCCGCGGAGCCGCCGCCTGCACCTCACGGCGCCCAGGTAGGGGCCGCGGAGCGCCCGGTGCGCGGCGTGGGGGGGTGTTTATATAGTCAGGGATGGGCGGGGCTTACCGGCAAGGGGCGGGGCCTACCGGCGGGGGCGAAACTTACCGGTGGCGGGGACCCTGGGCCCGGTGTGTTTCCTCTTGCTCTCCCCGCTGTGTTAGTTGCGGAGCCCGTTGTTTGGGGGAGGGGGAGCTCACTCACCCCCCCACCCCCACCCCAACAACGCCCCCGCACCCCCGGTGCCAGAGCCCCTTCCCCCCCACACCTCGAGTGCCGGGGTCGCCGCCGCCACCGGGAGCGAAGGAGCGGCCCCCAGCGGCCGCCGCGGGCGCTGCCGGCTGATGAAATCCCGCTGCCGCCTTGCGTGTGGAGCCCGTGGGGGCTCCGGCCCCGCTCCGGCCGGCCATGCGCTGCCGGAACCTCCCCACCTTTTCTTGCCCCCTTTGGGATCGGGAGCTCGCTGGTTCCCCAAATATCCCCGGTGCCTTCAGGGTAAGGGGCTTCTCGCTCGCTGGTGGCTCCAGACACTGCCCACCCTGCGGGATGAGCCTTGTGCTGTTGCACCTGGGCACAGCTGGAAAAGTGCTGGGCTTGCGAGGGGCTCAGTAGGATCCCTTGGGAGACTGTAGCGCAGGTGGCTGGTCCAGGGTGGAATGGTTTGGGGGAGAAACTGCAGCAATGGGTCGTACTGGGGGTGGGGGCAAGGGCAGCTCTGGGGCTCTGCGCTTCCCTCCGGCAGCCGCTCGTGTCCTGGATGTCCCTCCCGGATCAAGTAGCTTCTCAGGGCGTTGGATGCGATGAGCTTTGCTTGGCTCCAGGAATCAGCCAGTCTTGGTGGTTTGGGAAGGAGCCCGGCGTGGAGCATCCTCGCCCGCTCGGTGCGAGGACTGCGGGAAGATCCAGCCTTGGACACCACGAGCTCTTGGAGCTTGGGGTCTGCCATGAAAAGAAGACTTCGAGGTGGCTGAAAGGAAACTCGTGAAGAACGAGCGTGACTTTCATGTACAAACGATAGCTAAAACGTGAGGGAGAATGGAGGTGAACAGTTTGTGTAGTTCACAGGCAGCTGCGACCTCCTTGGCTGTATTTCCCGCGAGCCTTTCCATATCCTGCTGGGTATCCAGTTGCCTGGAATGCTCTTGGCACTGTCCGGGTGTTCCCGTTACCAATTTAGTCTAGCTGTGTAAGCGAGGAGCCAGTCCCTGCGGATCAAGCCATGGCAAATCGGTCCTGTCTGGCTCCAGGAGGTTGTTTTGTGCTCTAACTTCCCCCTTTCCTGGGGTTTCCCGAAGCTCCGGTGCTAACAGTGTCACTGGCTTCATTGATGCTCTTTCCCGCAGCAACGACGCGGTCGTCATCTCCGGAAGGAAGCTGGCCCGGCAGATCCGGCAGGAAGCCCGGCACGAGGTGGAGCAGTGGGTGGCAGCCGGCAACAAGAGGCCTCATCTCAGCGTCGTTCTTGTGGGCGAGAACCCTGCCAGTCACTCCTATGTGCTCAACAAAACCAAGGCAGCGGCGGACGTAGGTGGGTCTTGGCACAGAAGGAGGGGACGAGTCACTGTCCCGCTTGGGCTGGGGGAAGCCCTCGGGGTGGCAGCTTGTCACCAGGCCACGTTTACCCTGGCAGTTGCTGTTAGTATTTGCTGCCCTCATAGCACTCCTGGGCTGTAATGCACATGGTTTGCATGTGCCTGGAAGTATTAGGATAAAAAAAGGAAAATGCAACATCAGGCTCTGTTCTGGAGCACAGTCCCACGCATGTAAAGGGCAGAGGGCTCTGATTTGCTGCCTTTCCTTGGCTGCTCCAAGTGCAGTCTTGGTCCAGCGTGTTGCTCTTGCTCTGTTGTGATTCCTTCCAACCGTGTGAGCCCAAATCCTGCTCCTTAAGCTGCCCTGAGTTTGCTGATGTTCTTGGATAGCCCTCCCCTAGGGATGCTGTTTGGTGGGGGTGAGGGATAAGGCTCCCGAACACGCAGCTCTAACACAGCGCTCTGCCCGACCGCTCAGGAATCAGCAGCGAAACGATCCTCAAGCCAGCGTCGATTACGGAAGAGGAGCTCCTGGATCTGATTAGCAGGCTAAATCACGACGCCAACGTGGATGGCCTCTTGGTGCAGCTGCCTTTGCCCGGTGAGTAGCCAGACTTCCATCTTTCCTGCTTCTTGGGAAGAGGTGGGAAGCATCTGGTGTGGCAGGAGAGCTGGCAATCTGTCCTGCTGCAGCTGAAATGTGCCTAGAGCAGCTCTGTGGGGCAGCTGCTCTCCACGTTTTGCTGCTGGGACTTGCAGGAGTCTATTCTTGGGTGGCTGGTGTCGTCTTCCCGAGCCAGAGCTGGAACTTGCTTGTGCCACCTAAAAATAGCCCTGAAAGGGCTGTGGTCCCATGGGCCTGCAGGCCCCTTCTGGCAGGAGCTGTTAGCTCTGAACTTGCTGGGCATGTTCAGCAGCTTCCAGAGGGGCTGCCTGGAAAGAGCTGCTTCTGGCAAATAGCTGGTGTTGAAGCTGTAACGTTAATGCTTTTCAGAGCACATCGACGAGCGCAGGATCTGCAACGCCGTGACTCCAGACAAGGACGTCGATGGCTTCCACGTGCTCAACGTGGGGCGCATGTGCCTGGACCAGGACTCCATGCTGCCGGCCACCCCGTGGGGCGTGTGGGAGATCATTAAGAGAACAGGTAGGTGGCCGTGGCCTCAGGCTGCCGCCTTCGCCCCGGCTGGCACCGGCCTTGACGCTGGGTCTCCGTGCCACAGGCATCCCGACGCTGGGCAAGAACGTGGTGGTGGCTGGCAGGTCCAAGAACGTGGGGATGCCCATTGCCATGTTGCTGCACACGGACGGCAGGCACGAGCGCCCAGGAGGTAGGAGCTTGGCCACAGGGAGCCTTCGGGGTCCCCCTGCGTAGCCCTGCTGGGCTCCCAATGCACTCCTGTCTGGTGGCACCTTGTGGGGGTGACTACTGGTTGTGGCTTCTATGGCTGAGGAGTTAACTCTGCCCCTTGCAGTCTTGAAATGCTCCAGGGACACCTCCAAAAGTCCTTGTCCTCTCAGTTGGCTATAAGTACCTGAGGAGAGAGTGTAAAGAGGTTCTCAGTAGTGGCTGGTGATGGGACAAGGGGCAATGGGTACAAACTGAAACACAGGAAGCCCCATCTCCATGTGAGGGAGAACTTGTTTACAGTGAGACTGACAGCCCTGGCACAGGCTGCCCAGGGAGGCTGTGGAGTCTCCTTCTCTGGAGAACTTCCAAACCTGCCTGGATGCAACTGAGTGCCCGGTGCTCTGGCTGTCCTTGCTGGAGCAGGGGGTTGGACCAGATGACCTCTAGTCATCCTAGACTAGATGGTTGGGTCCTTCCCAATCACAACCATTCTGGAATTCTCCCTGTGATTGATCATCAACATCTGGTGTTCCTGCAAGATGCCAAGATAGTCTTGGGGGGGGGCAGAGTGGTGGAAATGGCTAGAAAGGGTCAGGCAGTGCCTGCAGTAACACCGAGCTGGTGGCCACTCTTGCAGGCGATGCCACAGTGACCATCTCTCACCGCTACACTCCCAAGGAGCAGCTGAAGCAGCACACGATCCGCGCCGACATCGTGGTGGCCGCAGCAGGTAGGGCCGAACTCCCGTGGAGAAGCCAAGGGGCACAGAGGACACCGTGCTGACACTGTGGGAACCTCTACTGAGGTGACAGTCTGCTTGGCATCAAGTGTCCTGGGGTCTCACCTGAGCAGCTTTGGTAGCGTAGAAGCGTGCAGCTCTTCCATGGCTGTTTGCAGCTGCTGTGGACAGGGACTCCACCCAACCTGTTGCACCCACCCAACAGGAGTGGGTGGGGAGCTGTTGGACCCCAGATGAGCTTAGCCCTGTAGCTGCTCTTGCCAGCAGAGCTGCGTGAAGCTCTTTGCATGTCTTTGAAATGGAAAGTAACATCTGGCAGAGGGACTAGTGCTCCTAACACCCACTGAGGTCCCAGAACAGCCCCGGGCAGCCTCTGCTGAACACTTGGCTAGCTCTGTGTGTGTGGGAGGTGCAGGGATGGGGGTTGCTTACCCAGAGGCAGGGGGAATGCCCAAGGATGGCTCCAGCTCCATTCCCAGAGCGCAAAGAACTGCTCAGGCTGCTGTGCTCTGCCCAAGGGCTGGAGAGGCTTCCTCTGCAGGAGTGCTCAGCTGCTGGGAGCTGTCTGTGCTCAGTGTGAGCCTGCAGGGAGGCCGCAAAGAAACACACGGGCTGGAGAGAAGGTAGAAAGAAGCAGGATCCCAAAAGGATTAAAGTGCTGGTGGTGAAGGTGGAGCTGCTGGCAGCAGCAGAAGGCGAGCCAGGAGGCACCAAGGAGTGAACTGCAGGGCCTAGAGCTCCTTGCTCTGCCGGAGCTGCTAGAACCACAGGGATGTTCCCCAGTTCCCCCCCGTCCCAAGCGGGTGAGCCCTGAGCAGCCACTGCTCCCTGCGCATCGCCCAGCTGCGCTGAGGGCAGCCGAGCTCCAAGGGGCCTCGCGTGGAGGCAGGAGCGTCACTGGAGCCGCTGAACAAACACCCGGAGGCTGCAGCAAACGCAGCAGCCCCGTTTCCCTTTGATCCAGGCATCCCCAACCTCATCACAGCTGACATGATCAAAGAAGGAGCCGCCGTGATTGATGTGGGCATAACCAGGGTGCAGGATCCCGTCACTGCCAAACCCAGACTGGTTGGAGATGTGGATTTTGAAGGTAAAAGAAGGCTCTGGCTTCTGGTGCTCTGAGCACTGAGGAGTGGGGGAGAAGGTCGTGGGTGGTGGGATGGAGCACATGCAGCGCAGAGCTGGAGTTAGTGCCTGGGGCCTTGCAGAACTTGGAGCAGCTGGGGCACTGTCTACTTAGCTTCATAGTTGGCCTCGTGCCTGCAGGCTCCTCCTCACAGGAACGGGCAGGTCTCACCTCACTCTTCCTGGGCGCTGCTCCTTGCTCGCTGGGGAGCTGTTGGGATCCTCGCGAGGCTCCTGGCAGCGGGTGCTCACACCTGCTCATGGAGAGAGAGAGACAACAAGCGTGTTCAGAGTGTTGGTGTTGGCTTGGAGGCCTTGCCGGGAGCATGCAGGAGGTCCACACCTGGTGTCCAGCTTCCCACCATAACTACTCGAGGGGCCTTTTCCCCTGACCTGGGCTCCAAGTTAAGCTTGGGATGGTCCAGCGGGTAAGAGCACTGGTTTCTGCAGGCTGACATGAGACCTGGAAGCCCAAGAGCCTTCAGCCTTGGTGGCACCTCCATGTGCCAGTGTGGTAAGTGCCAGTGCTGCTGCACCAAGCCCTGCATCTCCTCCCTGCAGGGGTGAAGAAGAAAGCCAGCTACATCACCCCGGTGCCGGGCGGCGTCGGGCCCATGACGGTGGCCATGCTCATGAAAAACACCATCATCGCTGCCAAGAAGCTGCTGCAACCCAAAGAGCTGAAAGCGCTGACCGCGTAACGCGGGGACTCTCCGTAGCACTGAAAACCACATTCCAAACCGACTCCCAAGCAGGCCGATAGAAAATGCAATATTTTTTATTTATTATCTGGAAGCGGATTTACTCTCCTGAGGTCCTAGGTATTTATTTGAAGCTGAATGATCCCCGTATTAGTTGTGCTTGAGGCACGAGCGCCGCCCGCCCGGCCCGTGCCGCGGCACGCCTGGAGCCGAGGTGCGTTCCGTTCCGTTCAGGCGAGCTCTCCCTGCAGGAGCGAGAGCTGGGCCGCCCCCGCAGCCCCCAGGGCCGGGGTGCAGCCCTCGCAGGAGCTGCGTGTGCCCCGACTGGCGCCGGATGACGCGGCCGTCACGGCTCTGTGCTCACAAGTGCCCCGGCGGGGCGGACTCCTCGCGTTTGACTCGTTCTGAACTTGTTTACTCAACTCCGTTAAGCTTTTTTTTGTGTAGAAGTTACTTCAAACAAGCCATACGTCTGTGCTCAGCCTCTCCACAGCCCTGAGCGGCAGTAGAGCAGGTGGGACGGGTTCTAGTGTGCAGCTAAGCTGGTATTTGCTAGTTGGATGGTGACTGTTAACACTCTTTTCTCCCCTCTAACCAAAGAGCAACAGGGGGGCTGTCGGTGACCGCACCAAACACAGGGTTTCCCTGGACTGTCCTGAAAAACATACGAGAGCTGGGTGAATAATCCAGGCTAACAGAATAAAAGTAAGAGAGGGGGAGAAAAAAAGTGTGTCCGAGAATTATTTCCAAGCAAATCAGTGTGCCTGGGGTGTTTGCACTTGGGGTGCAAACAGAACAGGAAAGCTGCCCCAGCCCAAGGGTTATATTGGCAGTAGTGCTGCTAGCTGCCTTGCAGCAGGGGAGGGACTGGCTCTTCCCCCTGAGTTGGGCAAAACATGAAGTCTGTCTAAACAAGCCCTGCAAAGTGTTTAACTTTGTCCCCAACAGCGGCTCACCTGCTGTAACTCTATAGGAAGAAAAGGGAGAACCTAAACTTACCTTCCTCTGCCAGCCAGGACCGCGAGCTAGGATTGCTCATGTTAAAAATCAACCTTACCTGGTGCTGCAAAGTCTCCAGGAGCGCCAAGCTCTTGTATGCACCGCTGCTCCCGTAGGCTCGAGTCTCATAGCCGCATCCTAGGGAGAGGAGGCAGGTAGGAAACAGCCTGGAGGAAAACATTGGAGTCTGAGAGCACCTTTCTGCAATCAGAAAAGGGTGTGTTTGAAGCTCAGCTGCTGCTATCAAGTTGGAGCCACAGGTGAGTCATTGCTAACCCCACCAGCAGAATAATTCATGGCTCCTGGAAGGGAAGGTGCTGCTAACTCAAGGCGAGGAGCAGAGCAAGCGGCTGCCAGAAACACACCGAGAGCAGAGGCTGATTTCAACGGAGATTTATTGGGTTGTAGTAACGACAAATACAAAATGGCTAAAGTGGGGATGTGGATGCAAGTTTGTTACACTCCAGTGCTGCCTTATACAAAAAAAAAAAAGTAGAAACCACCTGTGAAACTGCAAAAAAAGTAATAAATCACAAGTTGGGTTGAGCCAAGCTGTGCTCTAGGCAATGTCTACGGGTGTCCACCGAGCCCTTCCCCGGCGCTGGAAGGCAGGAGGTACCGGGGCGAGGGAGCAAGTGCCTCCAGGAGCCCCTAAACCCCTGAGCCGGGGTGCAGGGTGCCCCCGAGGTGGCCCCGGTGTCGAGGGAAGGGAATTCTGACTAAAAGCAGCTGGAGGAACCCGGAACCCTGCTATAAATAGGAAGGGGCAGCTCTGTTGCCTCTGCTCGGCTATTTACACACACAGAAACGGGGGCTGCTCCGAGCGGCTGCAACGCCCAGGTCGTGCTCCCCAAAAGCCCCGGGCGGCAGCTTGGAGCCCGTGCATGGGCAAAGGGGCTGGGAAAGGGAGGGAAAGGCAGCTAGAGAGCAAAGAGAAATGGTGGAAAAGCAGCTCGGAGGCGGCTGCCCGAGAGCAGCGCGGCGGGAAGGGCCCAAAGCGGCTCCGGGGGAGCAACCGCGGGGCTGCGGCTGCTCCCGGGCGCCGCTGGAGCTCGAGCCCTCGATCCCGAAGCGGGATTCGGGAGCTCCAGCGGCTGCGAGCGCCCTTGCGAGGGGGGCTTGGGAAGGCCCCGCGCGCTGGGGAAAGCGGTCCCGCTTCCCTGCGAGAAAATGATCCCGGTTCTCTGCAAGAATCAATCCCGATTCCCTGCAGCAACCGTTGGGATTCCCTGCGAGAATCATTCTTGTTGCCGTTCAAAAAGCATTCCCGATGCCGTGCAAAAACGATTCGGATTCCCTGCAGAAGAGGCTCCCAACTCCCATTCTCATGCTGCCAGAACCATTCCTGAGTCCATGCAAAGAAAAAAACCAAAACCAAAACCATCCCGATTCCTTACAGAAAACACTTTTTTTTTTTTTTTTTTTTTTTTTTTCCCCTGGGGAAAAAAACCCGCCAGATTCCTTTGATTCCTTGCAGAAACCACCGCTCCCGATTCCCTGCTCCCAGCCAGGCTGCTGTTGCCCTCAAGCGGCAAAACGGGAGCCGCTTTCCTCCCGGCTGCTCCCGCTTCAGGCCACATCCCGGCACTCCAGCTCCCTGCGGCTTCTCCGTCCCCGCGGGATGTTCCCCGGCCTGCAGCCCTTGGGCTCCCAAAGTACCGTTTTCCACCTCTTCAGCCTCATTCCGGAGCCGGCAGCGCTGCTTCCATCCAGTGCAAAGGGAGGAAAGCCAACAGCGCGTCGAGCTGTTTACGCTAAAAACTACCGGAGAAACGGAGCCTCCGGGGCCGCGGGTCTCCTCAGTCCGTCCCGTAGAAAAAAGAAGCCCCATTTGCTTTTTACATATATATATATATATATATAAATATATCTAGATATCGATATATATATATAAGTGGCCGGGAAGGCCGGGCGGGACTATAGCGTGGTCTCGCTGCCCATGTCCCGCGGCTGCTTCTCCGTGTCGGTGTCGTCGTAGTCCGACTCCATCTCGATCTTCACCTGGGGCACGGCGCAGAGCGCGTTGCGGGAGTAGTTGAAGGCGGGCGACGACGGGCAGGAGATCTTCAGGTGCAGCGTAATGCTGGGGGGCGAGGAAGAGGAGGAGGGTGAAGGACACGGAGGTGCCTGAGGGATTTGGGGTTTTTTCAGGATGGGGAGCGGCGGCCTCTTTTCCATGCGCTTTACCTGCGATCCAGGTCCGAGCCGTTGGGAGAGGAGTCGGAACGCAGCGCTCCGGGCGGAGGGCCTCTTTCCTGAGGGGAGGATGGACAGGCGTGAAGCGCTTCCCGGGAAGCCCCGACAGCTCCCAGCCCTGCTCCTTCAGCCCCGGCCTCAGCCCTGCACCTTCCTGCATCCTTGCCTGCATTATCCGTAGGAAAGGGCAACGGCTCCCGTTTTCCTTCAGGATTCGGGGGATTAGCGTGACTGGCACCAGAGCAGAGCTGGGGTTCCCAGCAAGGGCATTAGGAAGCAGGGGGGAAGGAAGGGAGAGGAGGGAAAGGAGGTGGGAACTGGGGAAGAAAGCAGGGCAAGGAGGTGAACACGGAGCCAGGAGCTGCTCTGAGGGGCCCAAATCCAGAGATTTCTCCCCCTGGATGCCAAGCGCTTTGAGGTTGGAGTAGCTCCTTATGGGAGCTGCCAGGAGGTCGGTGCATGAGGATGAGGGGGCTCAACCTTCCTCTGGGTGCAGATCCCAGCTCATCCTTGCCTCCAGGGCCCCATTTGCACAGCGTTTCTCCAGGGAAACCTCTCGCTGCTGGCAGCAGCCCCGGCAGCCGCACGCTCCCTGTCCTCAGCCCTGCCTCTTCCCCGTTTTTTCCATTGCCATTTTGCTCCCACTGGGATTTTCTGGCCCTGGAACATTGAGGACGCTCCATCCCCAAGTCCACCGGCTTGACAGGAACACCGCTGTGCATCGAATGTATGGGATTCCGAAGCCAAGGAAGCTCGGCCATTCCCAGGCTTCTTCCAGACCCCTCCATCCCTAAAACCTGCAGATCCCGGTGGCGAGAGGCGCCGCGCGGCACCCGCACCTCCTCATCGCTGCTGCTGTCGCCCTTGTTGCCCCTCTTCTTCTTCTTCTTCTTGTCGTCCTCCTTCTTCTTCTCCTTCTCGGGGATGATGTTATCGATCCAGGCCAGGTCGTGCTGGGAGAAGACGAAATCCAGCAGCCTCCGCACCAGGATGAGGGCCAAAATCTGCGCGGGGGAGAAAGGGAGGCCACGGAGACGGTGCCCGGAGCGGCGCCGCGCCGCGGCGGCCGCCACCGGCACCCACCATCACGGGGAAGATGATCGCCGCCACGGTGGACTTGAGGATCCAGAGCACGGCCAGGCACACGATCTGCACCAGGGTGAAGAGGTGGATGCGCCGCAGCGGCACGTGCCGCAGGAACACGTAGTCGGGCTGGTGCTTGGCCGGCATGAGGAAGAGCTTGCAGCGGTCCCAGAACTGCGGAGCAGGGCGCGCGCGGGTGACGCCGGGCGCCGGCGGAGGGGGACGCGGCGCGGCGGGACGAGCCGCCCCGGCGCGGGGTCGGCCCGGCGGCTTTGGCCCCTCGGGCACCGCTCACCTGGATGCCGTTGAGCGACGCGACGCCCATGTAGAGGAAGACGCCGTAGAGCACGGGCATGGGGATGTACTGCGGGCACAGGGGGGCACGCGGGGGGTTGCGGTGCCAAATCCGCCCCTGCTGGCATTTCGCCCGCATTCCCGCATGCCCCAGCCGACAAGCAGCATTTGCTCCGTTTTTACCTTCAGGATGGGCGCCAGGAAAACGGAGATGCCCGTCAGCACGAAGACGATGATGCCCGTCACCCTCTGCTCCCTGGCAAGGAGAGGACGCAGGATGAGGCCGCGTGCCCGCACGCTGACGGGGGGCACCCCGCGAGGAGGAGCGCGGCCGCTGCTTCCTCACCTGACGCCCAGGAACTGGGGCTGCTCGCCGGGCGCGCTGGTCTCCGTCTCCATCTTCAGGCTGTCGATGTGGGCGATGGAGATGACGGTGGCCGCCACGTACCAGGGCAGCCCCATGAAGGAGCACACGGCCATGAGGATGCCCACCCAGAAGAGGTCCAGGTGGTAGCCGGCCGCTTTCTGCAAGGCAGCGCCCGGCGCGTCAGTGCCCGCGTGGGGACCATGGCGGCGCCGCGGGGGCCGGCGCGCCGCTCACCCGCAGCTTGTGCTCCTTGCGGTTCACGATGACG